GTCACACATTTGAAAGTCATTGAATCAGCACTGTGCCTGGTATTCTTGACTGCTCTCCCTGATTTGAGTAACAAAACGAGACAAGGAACAGGGCACTGATCAAACATGGAAAAGGCTCCAGGCTGCAAGAAAAGGTACTAAGGTTTGTGTTCTTGCCTGTTCCCACCTGATAGCACCAGCCTACCACACTGGCACTTGCCGAGTCTTGGTTTCCTCATTTGTAAAAATAAAAAACCTCCAGATTCCTTCCTGGAATGGAGTATGATCTAAGAACTGTAAACCGAACTATCCCTACTGCGTGTACTGGCTTTTTGGAACCCATTCTCTTTGAATGGACACCTTGCTTAGCCTAGATATAGTAGGGAGGGCCTTGGTCCTTCAAAGCAATGTGCCTTACCCTCTCTGAGGAGTGGATGGTAGGGGTGGAGGGAATGGGAGGAGAGGAAAGAGTGGGAACTGGGATTGGTATGTAAAATGAAAAAAAAAGATATGTTTGTTTTCCTTTTTTTTTTTTTTTTTTTGAAAAAGAAAAAGAAAAAACCAAGGAGAGTTTCACATTATAACACAGTGCTTCTCCTGCTTCTTGCTGGGGGTTGTTATATTCTGAGTTGCTTCTTTTGTTGGACTATGTTTCAATAGTCTGACGCTTCTGGAGACATGTAGCTGTCCCTGAACAAATGTGTCTCTGCCCTCAACATCTGGCAGATGTAATTCAGCAATTTGCATTTGGTGATGCCTGCCTGAGTTATTATTCATGGTAGCATATGAGATAGTGGGTCCCATCATTTATAGATCTGCATTATTTCTGAATTCTCCCACTTGCTCAAAATTTATTTGTAACCCCAACATTCTCCAGTCATCTGTAGACATGCACAGAGTAGCAGAAATTTGAGTTCTCAACCTATGTATTCCCAGATAAAGCTCAAGAAACAGCTGCTCCCTGCCTCCTGTTTCAGTTCTCATATCATAAACGAATGTAGTTATGGTCTATTTTGTAATCCTTCCCCCTTCTCTGGTTGGTGACATTGCTGTTTAAAATGGTTGCCTAATGCTGCCGAGGCACTGAGGATTATCACTAGGATCAAACCATGACTGGAACATAAAACATATTAGATTAGCACTGCCCAGAAGTGAATCACAATGCTTTGGGTCACAAATTCAATGTTAATGAATCACAGATCTCTCTCTCTCTCTCTCTCTCTCTCTCTCTCTCTCTCTCTCTCTCTCTGAAAAAGAGAGAGAGATTTCCTTAACCTTAAACACATATAAAACAAGATTAAGTATTGATTTTATTGAAGAGAATACATCAATACCAGAGACTCTTGAAAACCTATCTTACTATGCTCCTCTTAGGAGCAATGATTTAGTACTTTTTAATCTAATGTCCATGGTTATTTTATGGAACATGACGACCACAAATCAAGAAATAACTAACTTCCCCTACCTCTACCCCCGCCACTCTTTGTGCGTGTGCATGCATGTGAGTATGTGTGTATTCCTTTGAAGCCTCAAAACCCAGAGATATTTATTATTTACGGAAATCTAATTTTTAGTATCACAACTTAAGCCTCGCTGTATGTAGATGAATGGCTCATGAAGCATTTATGGTGACACAGGATTATTAGTTTTGCAGGGACATTGCTGTTAATTCTGACTCAATCTGTCTTATACAAAGTGGACAAGTTTAAAAATTAATTGGGACACTCAAGTGCATAGCTTACATGGACAGTTTTTCTTTTGTTCTTTGTGAACTCTTTTTGCTATCAGTGTGTTTAATTTTTACATGGCAAATTAGTCCAGTCATCCCAAAATCTGAGAGTCTCAGGTATAAAACAGAAACTCGAAACTTGTGTACATAAAATCATCATTTGAAAAGAGTATTTATGGTTCTGTGGCCCTCTTGATCTACGAGGCAGAAAGTCCTGGTTATTGTCTGGGAATATGTATCATGCAGACCGTACCACTACCCTGTCGTTTTTGAGAACTATGTGTTAGGGAAGACCTATTGTTTCGCCTCTCCAGCTATCTCCTTAACATATTGTTTGATTGTGCGACAGACATCTTCAACTGAACCTGAGTTATATGGAGTTTCTTCTCTCCGTTCTTCAAACCTTTCCTGATCCCATCTCCGATAACATTCACACTTTGGTTGTCTAAGTAGATCATGGTTCTTTGGGTTTTCTCATGACTCATGTGTAATCCACACACAAGGCAAGCTTCTTTGCCCCATCTGCATTGGTAATGTTCAGGGGCAATAGTACCACCATCAGCTTGTCCCTGGACATATCTGCTCTGAGGATTCGCATGAACCATCCTCCTTAAGTCTCTAGCATGGGAATACGTGGTCCCCAGATGGTGTTTCTTTGAGAAGGATTAAGAAGTGTGACGTGTGGGGAAGCCTGTCACTGAGGGCAGGTGTTGTGATTTCAGAAGACTCACGCCGCGTTGAGTGCTCACTCCCTGTTTCCCGTTTGTGGCTTGAAATGTGGGTTCCTAGCTGCAGCTTCAGCCACCTGCTGCCTGCTACCTCTGCTCTGCCATCATGGAATCTCGCCCTCTAGAACTGTAGCCACCCCCTACCCTGCAAACCTCTTCCTTCTATAAGTTGTCTTACTTTTATCAAAACAGTAGAGAAGTAGCTAATACATCTATGCTTTCAAAACGGTCTCCTAACTTCCACTCTGTATCTATTATATCCTTGCCCCTGGACAGGCATTAGTCAATGTGAAAGCAGCTATGGTCCTATCAGAGGAGGACAGGTCGAACACATCATATATGACTGCTTGAAATGTACACATCTTGTCTCACTCACTTCTTATGCCGTCTAGTTGACTCTCCTCATCCTTCCCTGGGCCCTCCTCCCTAGTCATCCTCAAGCTGATATGGGTTTGCTGCTGGTTTCTGCATATGCCTAGAGGTCTAAGGACTTAGTATTTGTTTTCGCTTCTATCTGGAAGGTTGTTTCTTTGGATATTCGTAACTAGATTTCCAGGGGCAAATCTTCCTCCAAAACGATGCTTGACTCTATTCAAAATTGTCCCTTTCCTTTGCTTGCTTCACAAATCTGGATGTTCTGCTGCAGCATTGTGTGGGGTAACTTCCTGACCTGGGGGAAATGTTCTGTGATGATAACCAGTGCATTCCTTACCGCTATACAGGTTAGAACTTAATAAGCAATTATTTGCTTTCAGTTACAGTACTCGTTTGCTTATATTGGTAAATTACATTGAACCTTGGCACTAATCTTAATTTAAGGAGTATGTGGCTGTCATATTGGACATAACAATGCACCCAGAATTCATCATTTTGTGTTTGATAAAGGAAGGATAAACATGCCTTCTCTTTTTGGTGTTTATATACAATTTCCCTTGGTATCAATTGTTGAAAAGGTTATCTTCCTCATCACCGATTAGTATCACCTTGGTAAAACCTCAATTATCTACACATAGGAAATCCGTTTATGAAGTCTCTCTTTTGTTTCAGTTACCAATGTTTATATCTGATAAAACTGAGTCCTTCCGCTCTGTTCTTCCAAACTGACTTGTTTCTGACCCTTTCATGTGTGCCCACAAAGTATAAAATCTGCTTATTACCCATTCTCACCAAAAATAATAACAACAACCTACAAACACACTTCCCGCTGGAATTTTAATTTAGGTTTGTACTAAAAATCAATATCAATCTTGCAAGAACTGACATTTTACAATGTTGAGTCTCTTAATTAATGAAAATTTTATATTCCTCTATTCCTCTAGGATTTTAAATCATATAAAGGGCATTTTACACCTATCCGTGAGAAAGCTTGCATAGCCTCTATTGTATTTAATACAATTTGAGAGTTTGATCGTATCTTGGAGATACGATCTTCTAAAAGGTCATTTTCTAATTGCATACTACTGGTATAGAGAAACAAACAATTTTATGTTAATTTGGAATCCAGTAATCATTGTAAATTAAAATCATTTACTATGGCTTTTCAGAATGTTCTGAAGATATAATTTAACTACCTATGAATAATGAAAAGCATAGGTCATACTTTTCCATCCTTAAGATTTTTTCTCTTTCTCTTGTATTGGGTTAGCTCTCCTATTCCGTGGTGAGCAGAAGGGTGTTCATGCTGGCAAGAGGAGAGCAGCTGTTTGTATTTGTAATCTGTTACTGACATTGAAAGTTTATGACCACTCTGTTTCTTTTGTAGCATAGGTAAAGGTTGAAGTTAATCAAACACATTTTCCTTTGCCTATTAATTTCTCTCTGAGTTTATGTAGAATACAATTTCTAGAAAACAAATAAATTTCATAGCTATATGTATTTAAAATAATGTATCTTATTCAGATCTTTTTTTTTCTGGGTAGTGATTGCTTTCACAAAGTCTAGTGTTCTGAGACACAATAGCAAACGTTTTCATTGCTCAGTTACCATATGCACATAGACTAACAATATTATAAATTATTAACATTAACAAGTCTGTTAAATATTCATGTTGCTTTTTACCAAATAGTACTGTGACAGTTAGTTTTCATTGTCACTGGCCACAATCTAGAATCTCTTGAGGAGAGAGTCTCAGTGAAGGATTCGCTAGATCAGGTTGGTCTGTGTGCATCCCTATGGATAATTGTCTTAGAGTCCGAGGTCACCATGGGTGGCACCATTCCCTAGACTATGCAAGATAGTAACTTCTAGCTGGGCACCAAGCATGGATATATTCATGATCTCTGTCCCTGACTGTGGGTGGGATGTAACTAGTTGCCTCAAGCTCTTGTTGCCATGACTTCCCCCAAAATGATAGACTATAATCTAGAACTATACATTAAAATAAAGCCTCTCTCTCCTAAATTGTCTCTTGTCAGGGTGTTTTACCACAGCAGCAGAAATGGAGCCAGAACAAATGCCCATTTCAACCATGTTGCAAATTAGATCAATGTCACACGTCATTTTAATTTTGTACAATTAGTTCATTGAAGCAGATTTAACTAGGAAACGGAAGTGTGTTAACTTACCGGTCATATTGCAGTATAGCAGAAATGGTTGCAGAGGCCCACTTCCATCCGAGTCTACGTAGTAAAAGCCAGAAGCATTTCCACGGTGCTTATAGGCTTCACATGACTGCTCATAGACGGCTGAGTGAGAGGAAAGAGAGACGTCATAAATGAAACAACACGAAACAAATCTCTCAACCTTTAAGAGATTTTTTTTTACAGGAGATCACCAACTCTATCTGCTTCACTAGCCAAGAGAACAGGTAACATTTCTATTTTAAAACAAAATCCATCCTTCTTTTCTTTTCAAATTAATATGGATGAAAGGGGTAACATACAAAAAAAATGAGGTTGTATTTTATGACACTTTTATCACCAAAGGAGAAGGAGATTGTTAGATCAAAATGAAAATTTACCTTACTTTTTATAGTAAAGAGAACTAGGGAAAAGAAGGCAGCTATTTAAATGTTAAGACCTTTGTAAGTATAACAAGGGAGCTTGTGGTACCTGTTTCAGAATATCTAATTCTAGCATCACCTTGTAATAACCTAACATCTGAAGGCACAGTAGTGTGACCTTCAGAACGAATCAGGTGCTACCCAACAATTATGCAATGGGAACATTTTAAATAATGTTTGAACTATGCCACTTTCTCCCATCAACTTAGCTAGAGGTAAACATTTTTCTTCGAAGGGGAAAACGATTCACGAAGTTCCTCATCTATAGCTTTAAATGTAATTATGAAACTTCTCTAATGCTGTTTAATGAGCATTCAACACAATTAAGATTCAGAGCAAAGGAAATATTCATATGAAATATGCCCCCAAGTGGTCTCATTGTGTTTTGATCCATAATTGAATTTTTTATTATAGGCATATATATTTGCCACGCATAAGGTTTGATATTAACAGCTGTGAAATGTACACCCCTCAATGAATGCCTGGCCAAACGTACCAGTAACTTCCATTAAGGTTTTTATTCCATGAAATCTGAAATAAAACAAACCCCTGGGTAGTCTCCCTGAATTAATTTTAAATTTTTGAAAATCGTCTTAATGAATGTTTAGGTGCCATGAAATATTGCAGCTAATTTGTGCAAAGTTACAAATTTTACAAATTATTCTGGAACTTTCCTTCCACCCAGCCCTACCATATGATGCTTTCACTTATCATATTTAAATTACATAGATGGAAACATAAGCACACAGTGGTTTGTAGCGATATTTGCATTGTGCACCGAAGTGGGCATGTAAAATGGTTAGCTTTATATTTCTGAGAGCATATGCCTACGGTCATAAATGCCTTAAAAGTGGTTGCCAAAGATATACACATTACTTTGGAATGTTGATTGGCTCCCTGAAGCACAGAGGTAGGCAAGAATAGTAGAAATGCTTTTCTTCAAATTTATTTTTATATGTTTTAAGATATACTCCTGTTATTTTTAATTACATGAAGGTGTGGTATGTGTATGACTGTGTGTGTGTGTGTGTGTGTGTGTGTATACAGATGCCCAAGGAGGCCAGATCTCCCTGGATCCGGTGTTAGAGGAACTTTTGAGCTACCTGGTCCAGATGCTGGAATCTAAAACTCGTGTCCCTTGGAAAATCAGCATTACTTTGCTAATTCAAATCTCCAGGTCCAATGTTTTTGATTACATGTGTGTGTGTGTGTGTGGTGGAGTAAGTGCAAATGAGTTCAGGTGCTTTTGGAGGCTAGAAGTGTTGGATCCCTTGGGCCTGGAGTTGTAGAAGGTTGTGAGCTGGCTCAAGAGGTCATTGGTCGCAGAATTCAGATACCCTGCAAGAGCAGTAGTTGTTCTTAACTGACAAGTCATCTCTCCAGCCCCAAACAGGAAAGACTTTTGCTTTAATATTCACTAACTGACCTTCTATGATGTGATGGTTACTTTCCAATTTAAACCTTTCCTTTTTAAAAACAAACTCTCAATATGAGCTCAGTCTAGCCTCTAAGCCATGATGCCCCTACCTCAGCCTCCCAACTGCTGGGATTCTAACAGAACCTTTAGAAGACTCCATATTTGTCTCACCACTGTGACCAGTAGCATCATTCTCACCTTGTTTCTTGGAGCATCATTGACAGAAACCCTCCAGATCCATTTAAGCACCTTGTTCTATAACCTAATCTGTTGGTTTTTGAATCCCACTATGGGTCACATGTCAAATGACCTTTTTATTTCCCATTCAAGTTTCTCCTCAGAGCTGTTTGTGTTTATAGTGACATTCCCTTATTAATGACAGTGCAGCCTGCAGAGTCAATTACAATGCATTTAATAACTTTCAGATTTGAGTCAGACATTATAATGGAAATGATAAAAGTTATAAAAATTAAAATGCACCATCTCTCAGTAACTGGGTAACATGATTGAGCAATTTGGCCTCTGGTGACAAGTTAAGTGAAGTTTCATCTCCTGTGAGTGTTTGTAGAATCTGATTGTAATATATATAACCAGTACCTGGTCATTACCCTTGAGAGATTGATAGGACCAAGAAGTCCTCTTGACCACAGTCTTTCTACCCTTGAACTAGAGCTTCCTGTCCTCTCTAGGGTGTCCAGGGCTGAGAGCCTCGGATTCTGTTTCCTACTCAAGCAGGGACACACATACACAACAATGAGTTGTGTGGTTGACCTGTCCAGGTTGGTAAGGTCATTGACTTTGCACCTAATGCTCTTGCTTCAAGTCAACCCTTGCTTCTGTGTTTCTTAGAATTTGAGTAATAATATGAAGCAGTGGGTGTGGAGGGTGGAAATGTGGGCTGCTCCTTTATTGAACAAGTGGAGCACAAAAATAATGTGAGGATTACAGTAGAAAACATTTCAGTAGAAAAAAAAAGGGTACATGGTTTATAACATAGGAAAATATATTGGCTGTGACCGCAAGCTCTGGAGTATCCTCCTGCTTAGACCCTTTAAGCAAATTTAGGGAGTTTATTAATATTGCTGAATTATATCATGAGTTAACTAGTTCACAACAATATAACATACAAGGTGATATCAGAACCAAATGAGTCAGCATGCACAAAGTGCTAAACCCACAGATGAAATTTAGAAAGTGCTCAATAAAATGAACTACGATTACTATAATAATTATCTGACCCACTATACTACCATCAACCTCATTAACTAATCTTAAAAGGAATTTAAGACTGAAGGCTTGTGGCCCCCCAAAATTCACATACAGAAGACAAATTCCTGGTAGGATGGTTTAGGGGATAGAGATGTGGGGGGAGGCAAGATCATGAGAGCAAAGACTTCATTATAGGCAATGGGGTTCAGAGTTCACTCTTGGGGCTGGGTGAGAATACAGAGGGAAGAAGACAGTCTGTGACCCAGTAAGCAGGCCGTTAGATGCCAAATCCTTGAACCCACATGAACTTAAACTTCCAGCACCAAACTGTAAGAACAAATTTATAGTGTACCCAAGCCAGTCTATGAAACTCACTTAGCAATGCCCAAATGAAATACTGCCTGCCCTTTGGAATGTCCTTGAGGAGTGCCTCTCTATACCAGAGCCAACCCCGCACAGCCCGTGCAATGCTGTTTCTGAGAATCTCTTTATCGCATAGTACCAACAAAGAATCTAATAACTAATCCGACTTCTACTTATACTGCACTTCTAGGAGGTTCAGAGTCTAATACCGTCCAGGTTAGGTACCAGAAAGTAGTCACACCATCTACATTTTATTGTATTATTTTGTCCTTAGATTTCTTTTGCTTTCTGTACATATTTTTGTCCTTTCCAACTGTATAACCCCTTATTTCTTGTTTTATATTATGTGTTTGTACTTTGGGAGTTTAATGAAATGAGATGCGTACTAGAAACTAGAAACTGATGGGATGCTGAAATTCAGGCTGTGTATCTCAGTACAAGATCACATAAACACAGACAGCAGAGAAAGCAATGCAAAGGAAGCAGAAGGCAGAAGAGAAAGCAGGTGTGTGTGGCTTACAGCTGTGGCAAGTGGCTCCTGTGTACCCTGTGTTTGTGCAGTTACAGTAGAAGGTGCTCCAAGACTGAGAGCACTCGCCACCGTGCTCACAGGAGTTGGGCAAACACCTAGGAGAAAGAGAAGAAGCTTTTAATCATGATGAGATACAACACAGTACTGATCACTCTTATACGGTCATGTGAAACACAGATGCCAACCCTGTGGAGGGTAAATTCCACATGACTAAGGGCTATACAGTTTGCTGTTGAGAGACACTGAGCTGACAGAACTAAGCCTTGGGCCATTAAAGGCATCTGGGTTTGGCCAGTGCTCAAATAGCTCTGACTACTTAATCTTAAGCATGTCTCAGCATATCACAGCTCTTTATTTTCCCTAAGTGACACGCCGTGTCATGACATCGATACTAGCCAGAATATTAACAGCTTACATGAAAGGGTGTTCCATCATTCTGAGTTACTACACTGCTTGAATATGGGAAGGAAGATTGACTGAGGAACGGATAAAGAAAGAGGGAAAGGAAAGGAATGGCGGTCTTTCTGTCCTCAATCTGCAGGACTAGAAATGTCCAAGAATGCTTGCTATACATTCATATATGCCAGGCAGTGTTGGAGTGTTCTCTGGTGCTGGACCTAAATCAAAAGGACTGCTCGGTTATTGTAAATGTCCAAGAGAAAGAACTGGTCTACTCAGTAAGTATGGAGCATAGGAGGCTTACCTCTTTGAGGTAGCTCAATTCCAGTATTAAATCATAATGCATCCTTTTAATTACAACCTATGTTTGAGAGGCTATATCATGAATAATTCATTTAAAAAAAAGAGGATCATTTGAAACTAACAGGGAATAAAAAACAGAACCTAGCACATCATCTAATCTGAATCCAGGCTTTGAAAAGCTGTGCAGGGCCCAAATAGGTCAACAGTCAAAAGACTAAAGAATTGTGTTTAATTAAAATATTTCTTTTCAATTCATATGCGTCACTTGACCTTAAAAAAATCATTGTGTATATTAGCTGAAAAGAGCATGATGCTACAAATAAAAAAACTGTTATATAATGAAGCAGGTTAACATATGTATCATCTCACATAGCTAGTTAATTTTTTAGGATTTATTTTATTTTAAACTGTGTGTGTGCATGCGCGCACATGAGTGCAGGTTTCTGAGGAGGCCAGGAGAGGGCATTGGGTTCCTGAGAGCTGGAGATCCCCATGGTTGTGGGCCACCTGAGATGGGTGTTAGTAAACCAACTCTGTAAGTCGACCTTGCTTTTAACAGATAAACTACTCTCCAGCCCCTGGCTACCTAATATTTCTCATTGTTTGTTTGTGCGGCGAAGACATCTAAAATCTATTCAGTTAATATAATTTTCAAGTACGGTATGATTTGTGTCACCTATTGCCTGTACCTTTACCATCAAGCTCACTATCATTTCTCCCAAGGTGAATAAGTCATTAGGAAGCAAATGCTTCTTAAGTTGTGTGGATCTAAATAAACCACTTTTAAAATTAAAGGGCCAGGCGTATCTTTTGACATCGGGACATAGTGAAGATGGTCTGGGCCATCTGGGGGAAGGAGCTGAGGACTTTCTGCTGTAGACTGAAATACTCCTATTGGGAGAAGATGATCCACAGTCTTCTCAGCTTGGATAAGCGTTAGCTAAGTTGCTATAGTTTCTGAGCTGCTTTTTCCCTAGAGCATTTCCTCTAAAAGATATAAATGAATGAATGAATAAATGAATGAATGAATAAATAACCTTTCTGTTGTGAATTAGTTCTTGTTCCCTTTGAGGAATAAATCGTCTCCAACCTTTTACCAGTTTCCTGACCCAGGAGGGGCCCCTGGAGGACAAACCACTTTGAGATACTGGGATGCAGATACCAATAGCAGAACCTGTATCCTCTGTCTCCATACAAGGATAGGAACCCAGTGAATTTCCATCAACACTGACTAGCAAACAAATGTGACAAAATCACACTGCCAATCACCTGTTAGGTGATTAAATTGTTTGGATCTGAGGCAGGATGGGAAGATGGGAGGAAGGAGGGGACGCTGGAAGGAAAGAAGCTTGTCCTGGAATCTGTGTTGTTTTCTACTGATTAAGAGTCAAGATTTCAACACAAGTGTCAAAGTCAGAATTTCATAAAGGGCCAGCAAGATGGCTCAGAGGCTAAAGGCACTTGCTGCAAGCCCAATGACCCGAGATTGATACCACGGACTCACACAATGACCAACAAACACAGGCACACACATATACATCCACCTGAATACACACACACAAATGTAATTTTAAACTTTCAAAAATTTATGTCGTGCTTATTTTTATAGACACATCCCAAATGAAAGTTTTACGTGCTTACTCAGGGCAGAATGAACACGCCTTCAAGTCTAATGGTGTCTGCACTCCTCTCTTCCTTGATCTTAAATAACACACCTGATAAAAGTTCACTTGCAAAGGAAGATAATTTAGCATAAGAAAAATAAATAAGCCAGCTTGTGTAGTTTTTCAGGGAGGGGAGGAAGAGAGGATTTGTTTTGTTTTATTTTGTTTGTTGGGTATTTTTTGGTTTTGTTTTGTTGTTTGTTTGTTTTGTTTTGTTTTGTTTTAGGACACAAGGTTTCTCTGTGTAACAAACTTAACTGTACTGGAATTCACTCTGTAAACCAGTCTGGCCTCAAACTCACAGAGATCTGCCTGCCTCCAATTCCTGAGTCCTGGGATTAAAGGTTTGTGCCACAGCTGCATGGCTTGCTTTTTGTTGTTGTTGTTGTTGCTTTTTTTGTTTTGTTTGTTTTAAATTTGCTGTGAAGTACATCATTTGAGCAACATTACTTAGGAAGCTACAGAATTATTCTTGTGTGTGTGTGTATGTGTGTGTGTGTCTTTGTAAAGACACTCTTTCCTCTCTCTCTCTCTCCTCCTCCTCCTCCTCTTCCTCCTCCTCCTCCTCCTCCTCCTCCTCCTCCTCCTCCTCCCCCAGCTCCTTCCTATGTCTTAGGCATATATTGTCCTCATGTGTCTGTTTCTCTCTAAACACCAATACTTAGAGCTAACATGTCCTATTGTTTCCCCCTCTTAAAAAACACATTAGCTCCATCTAACTCTGACTTGTCCCGAATTCTTTTCAGCAGTGTAGTCAAACTCTAGCTTCACAAAAACTAAGTGGAGGTCCCTTATGGGGGTGTTCCTCAAGCTTCTGCTGGCAGTGAAATGTCTCCTCATTGCTGATAAAATTGCATGATTTTAAAATCTGTGTATGTGTGGTCCATGGTGTGTCTGTGGTATGGTGTGTGTATGTAGTATATGCATTTCCATGTTTTCAGGTGCACCTGCACATATGTGTGTACACACATAGCTGTGGAGCCAAAGGGTGACACTGATCTCTTTCCTTGATGGCTCTTCATGTATGTTTTTCTCAGACAGGGTCTCTCACAGAACCCAAGTTCATCAGCTGAGTTAGACTGCCTAGCCAATGAGCTCTAGAGACCAACTTGTGCTACCACCCACCCCAAATGCTGAGGTTACAGAAGTGTGCCACCATGCCTGGCATTTTACAGAAAGTGAGCTTGAGACCTCCTCACACTTGTGAGGCAAACACTTTACAGACTGAGCCATCTCTCCAGCCAAACATCACATTTGAATGAAAATGTCAGAGGTAGCATTTGGTTTAGAGGCACTAGAGTGGCAATATCCCTAACCCGGGTAAAGTAATAGGAACAGAAGACATTTGTGAACTTCTAGTTTGACTCGAATAACTCCCCAGACCCCTGACGCCTTTCAGAAGTCAGAGTGGATAATATATTGAGACCAAGGCTTCCCATGGTCTCATCCATTTTCAATTAAAGAAAAATAAACTACAGAGCCTGCCAGAACATATTTAAGGTGGACTTTCTGCCTCCTCTCTGATCAGAACTGAAGCAGGAACCTGATGCTTTGCTTATAGGCTTTTTCCAATGTTAGCTGAAAATAGTGCTATTGATTTTTTCCTTGATTAAAAAATATGATGCCCACTGTTCACAGAACAAAACAATCCAAGGCAGGAGAGAGTTCCCCTGTAGTCTCACTACAAACATGACCTTGTGGTCATAAATACAATCTTTATCTTTTTTGGTGGTGGAGGGGGGGTTGTTGATGTAGACCAGGCTGTCCTCCAACCCACAGAGATCTACCTACCTCTGCTTCCCAAGTGCTTATGCCACTACACCTGACACTCAAAGACAATCTTAATGTAATTCTTCTGCTGTTTGGGGATCAAAACATAGATAGATAGATAGATAGATAGATAGATAGATAGATAGATAGATAGATAAAGCCTATACTTCTACAACCATTAATTTCACATTTTTAGTATTCTTATAAATTGGCAGGAACCCATTCAGGCACACTATCATAATTTAACTTTTAAACATTTCAGCTCAATGACAATCTAGTAAAAAAGGCATTTAAAAACTATCAAGACAGTACCAACCTTAGTTTATAATCAAATCGAAAATGACAACAGAGGTGACCTTTCTTTAAAATTTCTTGGAACAGTTTCAATGGTTTTGTCTAAAATCCAAATGAACAAAAAAGCCTTCAATTGTCATGGTGCATGGGCTGTTTCCTGTTGATCTTCTTCCAAAGGCTTACTGGGCCCGTTTTACTCCATTCAAACTAGACAGGTGAGGCTTTTCATAATTGTAAATAAAATGTGAAAGACTGAATTGTGAATTTTACTAAACTCATTAAATGGGAATGTTCGCCAGCTTGTAACCTATGGCAATCTGCACTGCATGGCGGAGCTCTTGTCCTGACCAAGGACTCTAAACAAATGCGTTGTACACTTCCCTCTGTGCTAGCCATTCCAACACAAAGTAAAACAATCCATCAACCCATTTTCTCAGGCTTCTAAATCTTTCTCCTAGACATTTCCATCACTATTTTCATTGCGTGTGACTTTGAACAAACACATCCATCGACATTCTCAAACCTGAAGTGACAGGCAAAATTTTCATTTAGCCAGATTCTCTGTCCTGCACAATCTCATTTTCAAAGGCTTTCATAGGCTGTAATGCTCGGCTGGAATGAATGATGTTGAATTTAGATCTAGGACATTATCGCATTCAGGGGAACTAAACATTAGTTACCCATAGGTCTCCCATCCTCAGAACAGTAACTAATGAGAACTTCCCCTCACACAACTCCCTCCCCGAGCTCCTCCTCACAGAGCCATGCTCTCTGTGCCACAAGAGATAACTTGTCTTCACATGCTTGGAACAAACCTGCTGGAGGCTTGGTGGACTCGTAGGCTTCCGTGGAAAAGAGGAGAGCAAGAGTGGAGGACTATGGGGAGAAACTCAGACCCTGAGAGGGACAGGATGAACCTAGCTGGAAGATGGTTCGATGATCTTGGGGTTAAAATCCAAGAAGTGGCCAGTGCGCTGCTCCAGATTTGGGGACAAGAACAGCTGCTGATCCTACCTTAGTAGAGTCTCATGACTTAGGAAAACACCTCTTTGTGTCAACAGAGGATGAAGAAATCACATTTGGAGGAGAGAGCGCACATGTGTATGTAAAAAGCAGGAAGAAGACTTTACTGAATATGGGTATGAGGATGGTATAGTTATCTCTTTATGGACACATGTGAATGTGTATAATAAATCAGCACGAAGGTTGTGTGAGGAGTTTCCAGTCACGTGACTGAGCATATACATGTGTGTGTGTGAAACACGATGTTTGAGGACTATGTGAGTTTAAAGCACATGCATGAAGAACCATGTGTACACAAGTGAGTGAGTTTGTATGTATGATGTACGTATAACTTTGATCTTTCTTAAACCTAGCTACACTTCTTAAAAAGTAAAAAAAGAAAAGATTGCATTATACTAAGTTCCCATCAAATTTTAATGTTACCACTTATTTTAAATTATGTTATTAAACCATTAAATGATATTTATTATGCATGGATGAAAGATTACCCACCCATAATTCTAATGTGTACCCAGAGAGGATGCATGGCATCCCAGGAATAAAGATCTGGCTTCTTGGCTCGGGGGCTGGGCTGTTTCCCTGGTCAACCTTACCTCTCCACGCATCAATTTCCCTATTCCTCAGACATAGTCACTGTCAAGATTATGTGAGGGTAGATTTAAACACTTAATAGCATTATATGCTTAGTTCGAGGCCCAGTATGTGGATTTAAATCTGCAACAGCGTGACATTCCACCGAACTCAGTAATTAAAACTAGCATCCTTGGTTAGAAGCACGGCTGGAATGACTCCTTCACTACAGTTGTCCAGGCCTACCTACAGTTTTTAATTATTACTAGCTGTTGGTTATTGTGTCAGAAGGCGTTCATCCTCTACAATTAACTCTCGAATCCTGCTTGCCATGCCCTGTGCCCATGCTCCTGCTGAGTTTATGGGGTCATGCTCACACCTTGATCAATACAACACCTCGAGCATTCCTAGTGGCAGTGAGTCTCCTACTCCCACACAGAAGACAGTAATGGGACGCGACAGTACCCATTAGACTAGGCACAAGCCATGTTCCCCTGCCTCTGAATATATCCACCTATCAGGGTATCTAAAGCCAGCTTGATAATCAACCACACAGGTCTCTGAACCTAATAGTCAATTTTACTGTTTGGGTAACAGACACAGTGTGTTGATTTTAATGACACGTTTTGGTACATTTATGCCCTTCTAGAACTATAACAGGATAGGGAAGTTGATCCAATGGTTAACTTGCTTACTGTGTAAGCATAGTGACCTGAGTTCAGATTCACATAATCCCCACAAAGCTGGATGAACCTGATAGCATTTCTGGAACCCCAGAAATTCTGCAAGAGGTTGCTAAGTGGAGATAAGAGAGTTCCTTAAAGCTCATAGTCCAAACAGCAAGAGAGCCTGTCAAACTCGAGGTAGAAGATGAGAAGGGACACCCGGGTTGTCTTCTTAACTCCACATGCTTGACATGATATATACGTATGTGCCCACACTCGCACACAAATGCACTGTTGCTCACATATTGTATACACACACACACACACACACACATTAAAAACAAGTGAAAGTAAAACCATGACAGCATGAGCATCAAACCTTGTAGGTTGGTAGCATGTGTAATTAACAGTCATATATCTTACACTTATTAATTATTATTCAAAATATATTATACAAAGAAATTGCTACTTTTTTAGTATAGATACAATTCATTTCTGATATATCAGTAGTGCAAAAAATACATACCAAAAGTTTATTATCAACATTTTGGATAGGTCAGTATGGAGATGTGCGGCTGTCCTTACCTGTCTGAAATGCCACATGAGTCTATCTGAAGGTCACTGAAGTTGCCAAGGGACCCCTGCTGAACTGCAATCAGATCTACCATTTTGTTGTTGATGGATATGAGTCTCATGCATCCTTGAAATCCACCTACTGGGCTCTTACACCTTGATCCAAAGCTTTTGTCTGGGCAACCTGATAAGAACAAAGCAAAGTGAATCCATAGTGCAATATTAGAAAATCAGTATTCAGGATCACAGCAGAATCTAGATAGACAAATAAATAAATAAAACAGACATTTGATTATCTTCTGCATTAGAAGAGAGAAATAAACCCGCTGGAACCATTATTGGCTTCCTCTAAATCTATGCAAAGTGTTGTCTTTATTTCCATAGGATTCAAAGGAAGCCTCTAGAGTGGTTATAATTGTGGGCACTGATTTAGCTTAATCTAAAATTAGAAGTTTAGCTATTGGATCCAAAATACTAAATGTGCCAGTAAGCAGTGTCAAATTTCCTATAGCTTAAGAGGGAACTTAATCTTTAAACTGGAAAACTCAAAACATGAGCTAGGATAAGTGTACACTGAAGACAAGAAAAGATAAATCGGTAATAATGAGATGCCTCTGCACTTAAAGCTAACTATCTGAGAAGGAGATATATTGACATAGAATAAAATTACCAAGTCTTTATTTGATTAAATACTTTATTTCCTTATACATGTAAGAGCCACGTATATTTTTGACAAATACAAATGGCTAAATGTCAAAAAATATTGCACTGTTTGATTTTATTTATTCTTTGGCTCAGCAAAGAATGTCCTCTTTATGCCCATTTTTTCTAACATTTAAGATTTGTTCTCATTATTTAAATAACAAATATAATATTAGCCATTACTGTCTGGGTTTAATGATGTTCTAAATGTTTATTCAAGTGAAGTAAATAATTTTATGGAGTATGAGCACATATATTTCACTTACAGATTTTCCATCAATCTTTCTTTGCTGCTATGGCTGTCAGCCATGACTACGATTTCACAGAATTAGAAGGGAAGCAGCAACTTCTTAATTCCTCACTGCTAGTTTTCCACCTGGAAATTTCCATTACAATTCAATATTTTCACCAAGGATATCTCTCTTTAATGCTTTCTTTTCCCAGCAAAATACATTTATGTGGCAAGGGAAGACCGATACTATTTAAAACTATTAGCAGGCACTCTGAAATATGCTATTTTGATTTTAATGGAAATTTCAAAGTTTCAAATTTAATATATCAACAAAAGGCCATCACAGCTTTTTTGAGTAGTGATTTGAGATACACAGTAATGTTTGCATTTCCAGTAATTAAAATTCTTCCGGACATTAGTACAGTGTTGTGTAGCTATATCCTCTTATGTGAATGCTTCCTGCAGGGAAGAGGCAGGCTTACAGGACTCAGCAATCACACAAAAGTTGAAAGACCTCCCCCCCCCCCCGGGTTATACAAGCAGCAAGGAAAGTGCTGGGGGGAGGTGGTTCTGGTGGAGCTGCCTGGAAGTTCTGAAGGTAATTCCAGAGATACAGTTTCAGTGGGTCAACATCCATGGCAGAGTTAGCATCTGTGACACAAGTGCCTTGGAGCCGGCCATGTTCTCATAAAGGGCCCCAGTAGACCCAATGGTTCACAGCTACGCTTGAATTGAATCATTTCTTTGGTCTGTTGTAGGTCCCCTATTTGGAGCAAAGCGACTTTTTGCTCATTTTTCCCAGGGAAAGCCACACTGCGCACAAGATTATCATAGTCTACTTGGCCTGTTTCCAAACGGCAGGAGAGAGTAGAAAGGGCAATAGCTCATGGACACGTGACAGTTCCAGTACAGCAGGAGCGTAAATACTTGGCTACTTTCTTCTGTGGCTAGTGTTGCCCAACACCTCCCAAACTGTGTAAGAATGTATTGAATCATTAAACCTATTAAATCTCATCTGCAGGAAGCAAGGCAAGACAAACTCAATCACAAAGGAAGAGAATAAAACTGTAGACAAAGCCAAGAGTCAGATCATGGGCACATCATATTCCTGGATGCAATGTTCATTAAGCAAGGAATTCCAAGAGTAAAGAAGGGTTCTATCAGGTTCTTCTCATTAGTCTTTGAAAAGGCAACCGTGGGCTAATATAGTGGAATACCAGGGAGAAGGCGAATACTGTGAAAGCTCGTGAAAGTTCTAAAGTAGGAAGATGGCCGGAGAATTCTCTATGCCGAATTGATGAATGGATCCATTACCAGAGGCAGTCATTGTGTTAAATGCCTCTGGAGATGACACATAAATTACCAATGGATGTTGCTTTTCCTGGAGGGAGATGCCATTTCATGGTGGACTGACCTGGTCCTCAGATACCTGATACTTGCTTTTTGGACAGGGAACTAGAACGTGCATACTCTGCCCCTTGTTGGCACCCCCAGTTTGTGATGCATGCTGTGCTACCCATCAGAAAAAAAAAAGATGACATGAGAGGGAACTTATAGAAATTAGCCATGCAACTATCTTCCGTGCAGAGAACCAAGACTTAAAACGTGAGGCTGATAAATGGTCAAAACTGAGCAATGTCCCATGGTGCCCTCTGATTTTTTGAAAAGCACTCAATTGAAAGAAGAAAGGTGAAGAGGAAAGGGAGCAAGGTGATGGATAAATCGTGAATATTTTGTGTTGCATACAGAGTTCTGCTCTTTGAGAAGGAGTCGTCCATCCTAACAGCCAATGGGGCAGTTACTCTGAAGTCTGCAGAGCGGGGACAGAACCCAAGCTGTTGGGGCAGAATGAACTCTTCCCAGTAGAGTATGGCAGTTAAGTCAGTGTGACTGGATTTTGACACTATCACTTTGAACTTGCAGTTGCATTTGAAGACAAACACAGGAAAAGTCCATGGCGGACTTCTTTGTAAAAATATGCATGAGAACTTTTGGATTTTTTAAATGTTTTTAGAGGGGTTGAGAGATAGATCTGTGGGTAAGAGCATTTGTGCAATCATGAGGAAAGAGTTCAAATCCCCAGCAGTCCAATAAAAACTAGGCATGGCATTGCACATGACTTTTACCCAAGCACTATGGAGACAGATGGAGATAGGAGGATCCCTGGAGCTTGCTAGAGAACAGCCTCTCTTCCGGTTCAATGAGAGACCATGCTTCAAAGGAATAAGATTGAGAGCAAGAAGAGAGAATGCCTGACATCCTTCTTTGGCCTCCATATATATTGGGGGGCACCTGCACCCGTGTGTGTGTGTGTGTGTGTGTGCGCGCGCGTGCACATGCGTGTGTGTGTGTGTACCACATTCACACTCTCAGACACACAAATACATCAAAAAGTCATTGGTATTGCTTAAATGTACATAAGATCTAAAACAAGGACAATAAAGAAAACTTAGATATGGGGTACACAGTAAAGCTCTGTGTAACTTTGCAATATTTCAATAAATCTTGGTGAATCTAAACCATTTTAGAATAGTACAGAGTGTGACATGTATATCATAATAAACAAAAATTATAGCATGCATATACATCACTCTCAAATATACAGCGTGAATAAACACAGTAGCCAGAGAAAATGCATCAAATAGCCAAGTATTACTAAATCTGAACACAGAGGTCATAAAATGCTGTAAGAAAGACAATTCCATTTTCATGATTTATTAACAGTTTTATCCAAGCTTCTGTTTTTATTTTGTATCCTTTAACAATATGCTTGGTGGGTTACTTGTATTATCTCTTTCTCTGTTCTAAATCTTTTCATTTCAATTGAAAGCTCTGGGTTAACGTATTCCATATACCTTACTATTGATGAAGAAACTATGTTCCTAGGGTAATCTCAAAATCCATCATGTTTTGTAAAGCAATTTAGTCCATAGATGAACAAATCTCAATTTGGGAAGCAATTATATCATTTAAAATACTATTTTGCTGCTTTTTGCAGTATTGGATTACATGATTTTTTTCTTAAAGATTTTACATTAAATTGTGCATACATATATGTTTCCGTGTGTGTGTATATAAGCATAGGTACCACAGAAGTCAGAAGAGGGTGCTGGAGTCCATGAAGCTGGAGGAACAGGTGGCATGAGCCTCCATATGGTTGCTAAGAGTTAAATCTGGGTCCTCTGCAAGAGCAGCCAGGGAGTCATCTCTCGAGGCCCTTGCTTTTATCTTCCTTGTTTAACTTTGTTTTTATTTGTTCTTTAATTTGCATTTAACCTCTGGTGAACTGATTTGTGTCTTTATAACAATTTTTAAAAATCATTTTCATTTCATTGATAATTACTGAAATTGAAAATCATTTTTCATATCAAAAATGATTCTAGAATTAGTTATTATTTTTAAGATTTATTTTATTGTTAATTTTGTGTCTGAGAGAGAGAGAGAGAGAGAGAGTGTGTGTGTGTGTGTGTGTGTGTGTGTGTATGTGTGTGAGGGTGTGTGTGTGTGTGTGTGTTTATGTGCGTCGAAGATTGGAGGTATCTAGGAGGTAACTCCTAGATCTGAAGTTACAGGCAGTTGTGAACTACCTGACCGGGGTCTGGACCAGAACTCTGATGCACTAGAAGAACAGTATAAACTTGAACCACCAATGCATCTCCCTGGCCCCAGAAGCAACTAGTAAACTGTAGTCCTGCAATAGCCAAACAGCAATATTATGGAGAATGTGATGACATAATTATGTCTTGCTACCGCCTGCACTCCCTATGTCGAAGAGCCTAGTATTTTCACTTCAGTTGTAAAAACTCATTTTTATGCCACAAGTCTGCTTTGCCAAGCTTTTATTTCAACCAACCATCCATAAGATGGCTAAACAGTTCATTTGTTCTGTTCCCTAAGGAAAAGGCTGATGCTGAAGGCTGCTGTCCTGCTTTTATCAAATGCGCCAGTGTATTTGTTTTTCTTCAACACAAAGATCGAGTTGCTATGACTAATTAGGCTAAATTATTTGTCCATTGGCATAATATTGAGTTCTGTACTGGGCAGTGGGGAAGCAGCAAGAACCCTCTAGGGGAGCTATGAGTCAGATCAGAGAAACACCGCAGTGACATCAACCCATCAAATCAGAGGACGGTGTACAAGGGCCATTGAACACTAGAAAAATCTAACAAGGCTTGAAAGTAAGAACAGAAGAAAGTGACCTACTTAAAATAAATCTCATTATAAAAACCATAAGCATAAGGAAGTCTGCCTTATAGGAATTCATTTTAGGTCATAATTTGTCATTTTGATCCACTCAATATTTCCATGTTTAAAGAGAGTTAAAAAATAGTCCTGGGTTAGCAGGGTTAGCACTGATCAAAGCATGTGAGACACCATCCCCAAGACACAGAACTGGGAACACAAACATGATCCTATGGACCATATGACCTGACTCCGTTTCTCACCTCCAAAATAAAAGATGCCTCCGGAATTAACCTGCTCAGGCCCCAGCCAATGAGAAGCAGGGGTGACGTGTCCATCCACGACCACACTCAGGTGATTCCTTTTAGCAGACAAGGAGACAGAGTGCCACTGGCCATCATCTAAGCCAGCACCTGAGGGGAGAAGTAGAGGAAAAGCTTTCAATAGCAAACACAAGACAGTCAGTGGTTCATGAGCAGCAGTAGACATTTCAGATCAACTGCAAGGCGTGAATGTACTGAAGATTCACCTTCTCTGGGGGACACATTACAAGACACCCATGGATGCCTGAACCCCATATGTACTGTGCCTTTTTCTGCATATACATAACTATGATAAAGTATAACATACAAATTAAGCATAGCAGTAGTAACTCAAGACTAGAATCAAAAGAATATACCGTAAGCATCATTTAAGCCCTACGAACTGCTTACTTCTGGGATTTTCCATTTAGTATTTGCAGATTGTAATTGACCACAGTCACTGAAGCTATGGAAAGTAAAGGCATAGATATCAGGATGTCATTTGAATTGTTCCCCATACCAAATGTGAAGGATATGCCTACAATCCCACTGCTTGGAAGGACAGGTGATATAGGAGAATTAGGAGTTCGAAGCCAGCCTAGACAACATAGTAAGTGAGGGAGAAAGGGAAAACAAAGGAGGAAACACACACACACTCACACATACAAAGAGAGAGAGACAGAAAGACAGAGAGAGAGAGAGAGAGAGAGAGAGAGAGAGAGAGAGAGAGAGAGAGAGAGAGAAGCATTTAAGGATGTGGAGCCCTTGCACAGTTAAGCAGCTAAGTGGACTCAGTGGGTTTTCTCAAAAGAGCGCATGTTGTTGGAAGGGAAAAGTGGTTGTTGGGAATGAGGAAAGAAAAGGGGGTAGATTTGATCAAAACACATTTTACATTTATATGAAGTTATCAAACAATAAAGACATTAAAACCATATATTGTATACTAAATATCTTTCAAAAGGACCCCACACAGATCAAGCATAAGGTTGTGTACATAGATTTGACCTAAGATTGCTGGAGAAAACCTCTGTGACCAGAGGCTTCACAGAAACACTTTCCCTCTAAGAGTAACGGTCTGACGTCAGCTACATGGAATGTATTTACTATGACTATCAAAGTAATGAAGAATTGATTCTTCCTCACCCCCGCTCACTCGTGCTCTCACTCTCTTTGAATGTGACACACACATTTCCAATTAGACTTATGTAAATATAATACGACCATGATAAAGGCCAAGGAGCTTCCAATGAAACCCAGTCTCTCGCTCTTCCTCCTGAGGAAGGTGACACTCATGTCATTGCCCTTCCTCTCAAAGGCAAAGGACATAATAGCTGTGTCCAAGGTGAAGCAGGGATAGGGAAGCTGAACTCTCTGTGGTGGATTTGCCAGTCTTACAGCCAGAGACCACCCAAGTCAGCAAACCAAAGTACAATCATCCTGTGAAGACAGGGAGCCATTTGTAATCGCCTTATTAACCTGAGTGAGTTTCCCCCACAATTGCAGTGTGAAAGGGCACCAAAGCTCTCTTAAATTGGTCACATTGTTCTGTCATGCATGTACTAAAAGGGACACAGATCCTACCCAGGGTTAAAAGCACACTGTCCTATCATCCAGGAAAGTTATTTTCCAGGAGCCAATTCTGGATTGCTATGTGAGAGATACTTGGGCACAGCAGTGAAGAAGGCAGATTAGATACTTACTAAAAAGGCTATTTCTGAGAGTGGACTCTACTGAAAAGACAGAATAGAGTTATAAAGCTCATGACTAAGATTAGAGTAAATTATGAAAAGTACCCCATTTGTCCTTCCAGCATGACCTTTAGGAGTCTGCACTCAGAGTGGCAAACCTTTGTTTACTTACTTAACCCATAAGTGCAGGTGCTTCCAGCTACAACTCTGGTCCCCATGTGTCCTCTAACTTGCCCACCAAGCACAGATGTGCCAAAATGAATGGCTCCAATCTGTTGTTTCTCCTTAGGCTTTATTTTTTCTTAGAGTTTGCTTTTCCTTTTTCTTTTTCAATCAATTAATTAATTTTTAAAAGAAAACAAACTATATTTTTTTCATTATACATACCAATCCAATTTCCTACTCCTTCCCCTCCTCCCATTCTCCCCACATACCCTCCTGCCCCACCTACATCCAATCCTCAGAGAGGGTAAGGCACAAACAATGCTTTGGCAAAGGTCCAAGGTCCTCCCTACTATATCTAGGCTGAGCAAGGTATCCATTCAAAGAGAATAGGTTCCCTAAAAGCCAGTACATGCAGCAGGGATAAATCCTGGTGCCACTACCAGTGGCCCATCAGTCAGCCCCAGCCATGCAACTGTTAGCCACAATCAGAGGGGCTAGTTTGGTCCCATACTTGTTAGTTCCTAGTCTGGCGGGAGTTTGTGAGCTCCCATTAGCTCAGGTAGACTTTTTCAGTGGGTGAACCCGTCATGGTCTTAAACTCTTTGTTCATATTCTCTTCAACTGGACATTGGGAGCTTAGCCCAGTGCACCGATGCCAGTCTCTGCCTCTGTTTCTATCAGTTGCTGGATGAAGGTTCTATGGTGATATTTAAAATATTCATCAGTCTGACTACAGGGCAAGTCAAGATTGGGTCCCCCTCTCCTCTAATGCTTAGGGGTTAGCTGGGGTCATCCTTGTGGATTCCTGGGAATTTCTCTAGACCCAGGTTTCTTGCTAACCCTATAATGCCTCCCTCAATCAAGGTATCTCTTTCCTTGCTCTCATCTCTGTCCTTCTTCCTTCTAGACTATCCCATTACCTCATGTTCTACTCACCCCTCCCCTTCTCCCCTTATCTATTCACCCCTCCACCTTCTCTTCTCCACCCTCCCCCATGCTCCCAATTTTGTCAGGCGATCTCCTCTGTTTTGACTTTCCAGGTGGATCTATTCATGTTCTTCTTGGGATTCACCTTATTACTTAGCTTCTCTAGGATCATGAACCATAGGCTCAATTTCTTTTGTTTATAGCGAGTATCCACTTATGAGTGAGTTCATACCATATTCATCTTTTGGGGTCTGGGTTACCTCACTCAGGATAGTGTTTTCTAATTCCATCCATTTGCATGCAAAATTCAAGATGTCATTATTTTTAACTGTTTTTTTTAAACTAATGTGTAAATATGCCACATTTTCTTTATCCATTCTTTGGTTGAGGGCATCTAGGTTGTTTCCAGGTACTGGCTATTACTATTAATTCTGCTATGAACATAGTTGTAGTATGGTTGAGCATCTCTTGGGTATATACCCAAGAGTGGTATGGCTGGATCCTGAGGTAAGTTGATTTCAAATTTTCTGAGAAATTACCATGCTGACTTCTAAAGTGGTTGTACAAGTGTGCATTCCCAGCAGCAATGAATGAGTGCTCACCTTACTCTACATTCTCTCTAGCATAAGCTAGAGTTTTTGATCTTAGCTATTCTTACAGTTGTAAGATGGTATCTTAGAGTTGTTTTGATTTGCATTTCCCTGATGGCTAAGGATGTTGAGCATTTTCTTAAGTATCTTTTGCCCATTTGAGACTCTTCTGTTGAGAATTCTCTGTTTAGTTCTGTACCCCATTTTTTAATTGGGTTATTTAGAATTTTGATGTCTAAATTCTTGAGTTCTTTATATATTTTGATGATCAGTCTTTTGTCTGGTGTGGGGTTGGTGAAGATTTTATCCCATTCAGTAGGCTGACTTTTTGTCTTATCGACTGTGTCCTTTGCTTTACAGAAGCTTCTCAGTTTTTAGTGATCCCATTTATTAATTGTTGTTCTCAGTGTTTGTGCTACTGGGGTTATATTAAGAAAGTGGTCTCCTGTGCCCGTGCATTGAAGAGTACTTCCCACTTTCTCTTCTATCAGGTTCAGTATGGTCGGACTTATATTGAGGTCTTTAAACCATTTGGGCTTGAGTTTTGTGCATGGTGATAAATATTGTTCTATTTTCATTCTTCTACATGTTGACATCAGGTTATGCCAGCACCATTTGTTGCTTTTCAAACACTTATGCTGATGAAATTTCTAGTGGTCAAACTCTCCTATGATTGTGAGTGAATGAGTACATGTGCCTGCACCCATGTCTGTGAATGTACATGCCACATTGTGCTCATGGAGGTCAGAAGGTCTTGGGTGTCAGCTCTCCCCTCTACTTGCTTACGAGTCCTTTGTTGCTCACAATAGCACATGCCAAGCTAACTGACCTGCTAACTACTGTGGATTCTCCCATATTTGCTTCCCTTCTTGCCATGGGAGAATTAGGATTACAGACATGTACCACCACATCTGGTACTCTCAGGAATTTAGACTCAAGTCCTCACTCTTGTTCTGCACATGCTTTATCCACTGAATAATCGCCCCAGCCCTGATTTTGGTTCCTTCTTTAGTTACAGAGTTTGATATGCAGCCCAAGATGATTTCAAAATCAGTATCACCCTATGTCATCCACCCACGTGCTGGGGCTCCAAGGTGTGTACTGCTTTGTCTGGCTTGCATAATGATATGTTTCTAACACATGATAAAATGGATTACTATAAAATCCATGTTATATCAAGTACAGCTAGGGACTGAAGAGATGGTTAGTAGTTAAGAGCATTGCCTGCTCTTCCTGAGGACCAGAATTTGATTCCCTGCACCCACCTGGTACTTCATAGTCATCTGTAACTCCACCCCTAGAGATCCAATCCCTCTTCCATCCTCTAACGACCCTTCATGCACAAGGCACACAGGAATACATGAAGACAAAACATCCACACACATAAAATAAAAACTGAAAATGAAACATTAAAAAATGTAAGTCTACTAAGCACATGCTTATGTCTTATACGGATTTCTTTGTGCTGTAACCATTTCCAAAAGCTTTATGTCTGTTCTCATACTTGTGGAATTCAGACAAACCCTGCAGAGAGATTATAGTGGTCCAAGGATTGTGCTTTGTGTAGCTGTGCCCTGGGCATCTGCTGACTGGGCACGGGACAGAATTAAACCAAAGGCTGGGGCAGGCCTTTGGAACCTTACTTTTCCATATGGAAGCCAAGTTAGATTATGAACAAAAGATTGGCAGGACACCCCACGCTGCAATTTGGCCCAGTGAAATGCAATCATTTAACTGGCCA